TTTTTTTTTTTTTTTTTTCTTTCGACGAAGAAAGAAATTTGGTCGAAAGGAACGAGGATCTCGTTGTCGTTTTCACAACGGAAAAGGCAACGCCCAGCGGACGTATTTTGAGTTTCACAACGTAGCGTCTACGTGGGAAAAGAAATCGGCTGGTCTCACTAATTGTCCTCCTCGAGACATCGATGGCGGGTTAACGGCCGTTGGTTTGCGCGTCTATCGTCGACTTTTTCTTAATTGCAAGAACGAAATCCTCCTCGACTCGAGACGGACTCCTCCAAGTCGAATCCTCTTTTTTCTTTTTCCTTTTTTCTCCTCTCCTTTCCCTACTTCAACTCCCGTAGCCGCTCCTCCTCCTCGGCCGCAAGAAATGGCTGGCCTTGTCTCTTACGGTCGATAATCTCGGGATGGGATTCCATTGTTGTGGAATTAGTCATGGCGATACCTGGGAAGATACATCCGGGACGGGCAGCTCGAATTCTCGAAATGCCGATGTTTTAATCGGCGTCGTTATCCACTTGCGGCCAATCGACCGTTAAAACCACCGATCGACCCACAAAAAGATCGGGTGGGTAGTATCGTATGGTAGAATGGTAAGAACAAGGGAATGAATCGAAGGAGAAATATGTAAATTAAATACGCGGTGTAATGTATCAAGGATACACGGGTTGATTTAAAATTAAACGAAGAGAGAGAGAGAGAAAGAGAGAGGACATCGATGAATCGCGGCGGGCAACGATCGAAAATTACGTGGCGGAGTATTCAAGGACGCCGTGAAGAAAGTAAGAAAGTATGGAAGAAAGTAAATGGTGGCCTTGGACTGGCTGAATGAACTCGACCTGGGTTAGATGCTGGGAACGATCTTCCGTTTCGTTCTTTCTCATCTTTATTCTATCGTTTCGAATAATTTTGTTACGAATATATATATATTTCAATATATATCGCGATATATACGATAATGTTCGTTGTTTCGAGTGACAAGGTTACTCAAATCTCTTTTAACTGATTTAAAAACTTTTTAATTGATTTAAGGGAGGAACGGAAGCGAAATAGTTTGGCCAAAGCCGTATACTGCGTTGGATTTATTAATATTACATCAGTTGGTATCACCTGTACACACGATACTACCTTATGCAATAATTCTCACGGTTCACTACCGCGAAGTCAAATGATGAAGGATGCCGAGTAGCCGTGTCACAGTTCCAGGCAATACTTTAAAACACATAAAATAATATTTAATACTCGATAAAAACGAGAAACAAGGAAATGATGGCTTAATAATCATATTGTATGGAAATCACTGTTATTCAGAGTGAAAGTTTTTCAACGAAAATCTCGGATATTCGATTTATTCCCCTTTAAAATTCCTTTTCTCTCTCTCTCTCTCTCTTATTTATTAAATTATTCTTAACTCTTCAACTTCACTTAATTTAGCCCTTAATAAGTATATTATTATTTCGCGAATATCGCGGAATAAAAGAAAATCTTATTCTTAGAAATATCTAATCCACTTTCGTTAAATTATTATTGCTCATTTATAAAATCTGTTTAGACACACTGTACAATAATAGTCATTGTAAATTATACAGTGTGATGTAATCGCACAAGCAGCGTTTGAATCATCATTGTCATCAGCGCTTTGCCTATATAGGAAGCAAAGCGATATCTCACGTTTATCCTACGCGAAAGCTATAAATTTTGAAGTTTATAAACGACAGATGTAATGAAATTATATTAGCAGCTACCAATATACGTATATACCAATATGCAAAAGCAACACGTATCCTCGTAAAACCACAGAGCCGATGAGTGTGTCAATGTAAAGTGGGAAACGACCTTCCAGTGTCAGCGACCACCTTTACTCGTCTTGAGGACGAGCTCCACGCATGGCGAACGTAACGAGACAATAAGTACCAAGGACCAAGTTCGGCATGGACGCGTGTTACATACCGTGGCCACGTAGAAAGTGTGGAACAACGGTGCACACGTTAACTTTTTCATTCAGAGAAATTTATTCGTGATCGTCCACCGCTGACAAATATGGCCGCGGCTTTTTAAATTAATGATACCACCTCGCGAAAATTACCACCTCGAGAATTTTGTTATACGGCTGCAATTCTCCTTCGAGTAAAACTTTTTTCCTTTTTTAATTATTAACTCGTCCTTTTAACTCGTCCAAAAGATCCCAGCGATGATGCAGCGCGGTCGTAAAAATTTTCAAGATGAAACCCGAAGATAAAAAATCCGAAAAGAAAGTGTTAGAAAACGAAGGAACGAAGAAATCATCGAAACTCGATAGATTGCCAATGAGATCGTGCAACTCGTTACAGAATTGGACGATGATTTGGTATTCTTGTCGCATCGCATCGAGGCGAGTTTTACAACGCTAATTCTTTGTGGTTCCCCCTTTTAACAAATATTTTATTATCGATCCGTCCCTGGTTCTATTTGCACATGGCGACAGAGACGCGCGACGCAAGGCGATTGTCTACGTGACTGTCGTAGCTTCCTGCCCGATGTGTCCTACATATGTTCAACCGAGTTCCTTCGGATCACGAAGTCGCTCATCGTGGAAACGCTCAGCTTGCTCGAATCTTCGTTTCTTTTTTTCTTAAAATTTGCAAAAAATCTTCTGATCAAAAAGTCTCGAACAAACAATTTTTCGTCACGAATGTATAATTCCAATAAATTCCGACCGAATAATTCTTGTATTAATGATCCAAACGATACAACAGATATATTGTATCGGGCCGGGAAAATTATTTAAACTAAATACGCAATTAAATTCCAATAACGTATTCCAATAACGAATCCTTTCGTTCGACGATATCTCCGAAAACTTTTATATGTAAGACCAGTTGGCAATTTAAAGAGACGTGATCGTATTGTTGATACCACATTGTCGTGGAATTTAAAATATTTGTGGAATTTTCAAACACGTTTGACGACCTATGAAGCAACATTCACACGGGCCATTTTAATATGTGACTTTCCTTTTCCACGATCTTACTAAACGCGCTTCCAACATCACTATGTTATAATATCGTTATAACGGACTATAAATTCCGTATATTTTATATACTGAATTATATTTAACTTTCTGTGTTAATCGTTCTGATTATCTGTTCGCACAGGTGTACCTGTGCCAGAAGAGACTGATGAAGTTACCACGATCAAGTCTACGACGATCACCGCGATCTCTATCGATCCCGAAATCAAGGGTCACTCGATGGACGATATCTTGCCAGGAACGAAAACTCCGCCGAGTCCAGTGATATTCGTGGACGTTCCAGAACACATAGAGACGGAACTCGGCTCATCCGTGCTTCTAGCGTGCAGAACCGCTAATCCTGTGGCAGAGTGCCAATGGTCCTGGCAACCTTTGCCTCCGGTTCACCTCCCATTACCGGATATAAGCGAAACTCCGGCGACCAGTTAGTTATCAATACAATTTTTTGAACAGTTGAAAATATTTTTTGCAATTAACAGAATTGCAAACAGAATTTGTCGAAAGTAAAATATTCATTCATGATTTGAATGAAAAGAATCTTTAACGAATCTTTAACGCATGAGTTTTATAAAAGCTCCAACGAAGGGGCCTATTTATTTTTTTGGAAAATTTCATCGAAAGAATTCATTCAATGGCTTCGTCCTGATTTTATATATCGCAGATTGTTGTTGAGATCGAGATTTAAAAAAAGATCAAGACGGATGATACCGTTCTATTTGTTTCGATCGCGACAAATACAAGCTCGATGATGAGTCAATCTTTCGATACAGCTCTTTTGTTTTCCGCGGCATTCATGTGTCCCGCGCAATTATCAGCTCCTCTTGTAATTTATAGCCACCACGGTCTCGATGATTCAGACGACAACCACGCCGACTACAAATCCGTTGCCGGTACGACAATTTCCTGCCTTCGGGAACAATAGCAACGACTGTTCCGTAAGATTCTCGAGTACGAAGCACGAGCAGACCGGATACTGGACCTGCGCCGCGAGAACTTCCACGAATGATCCTTTCACCAGCACGGAACCCGCCAAGCTGAGCATCGTTAATGAGCACCAGAGTATGGAATGTTGATTGTTTCTTCTATCCTTTTTAATTTCTTCCTTGGAAATTTATCCATCGGCTGCGATAATTAAAACGCGAAGAGAAGAGCGGACAGGGGCGGATATTAATGTTAATATTTTTATAAATGTCTAGGTCCCCTGATCGTATTTTCGAAGCTTGATAACATCGTCGAGGTCCCAGCAGGATCCTCGGCGCAAATAATGTGCCAGATGAAATCACCTGTCCGTGAATGCCAATGGTCCTGGCGGCAGTTGAACCAATCGCAGCCGTGGAACCTCGAGGTGAAGCGATTCCCAGCTTTCGGCAACGACAGCACAGATTGCAGTATTAAATTCAAGAACGTGTTGCCCGAGCAAGAAGGATATTGGACATGCGGTGCCAGAATCGATCCGAATTCCTCCTTCACGCAGTCGAATCCCATACGATTTCTTATTTCGGAAGGTGAGAGAAGAAGGATAAGTCGAAATTTAAATTCTCGTCGCATTTTTGCTTGCAATTTATATACACGGGTATCCACACGTGTATATGAAAGAAGTTTGTAAAATATTTCGTAACGCGATAAAAAAAAACGGGCGTTGATTTTGTTTTTTGCAGTCGAATTCGTACAATTGTCTAGAGGAATTCAAGTGGCATCCGGCGAATCCGTGCTTCTCAGGTGTCTGGTAAACAAGCCGGTAGTACAATGTGAATGGTCTTGGAAAGCTTCGAACTCGAGTCAAGAACCTCTGTTAGTGAAGAAGTTCAATCCGAACAAAGACGCTGATCACGACTGTTCGGTGAGGTTCAAGAATATCTTGTACGAGGAGGAAGGATTATGGACGTGCGGTGTTCGATTGTCACCAGATGGAATTTTGCACGAAGCACCACCCGCGACTGTTAGCCTTCTACCCACAGGTATAAACTGGGGAGGGGGAAAAATTCGTTTCGAATCGAGAAAGAAATATCTTTCTCTTCTCAATTGTTCTTCATCCAATATTTCTTGGAAAATTGTTTGAAAAAAAAAAAAAGCAAAAAATTAAACACCACGTTCGGTGTTTCATTAGATTCATCTTGTTCCTTGTTCCAGCCAAAGTTAACTTCGTTGAAATGCCGACGGACACTTCCGTACCGGTTGGTACGGAAGCCATGTTAAAATGCGTAACAAGCAGCCGTGTGGAGAAGTGTACGTGGTTCTGGAAACCGCTTCACGGAAACGAACCGGAGATCGTCATTGAAGAATATCCAAGCAATGGCGACCTTGGTAGAGACTGTTCGTTCACATTTCCGAAAGTGTATATCGAAAAACAGGGTCAATGGGCCTGTCAAGTGTCGATCGGTTCCCTCAACACGATATTGACCTCGCCGTACGCCAAACTCACCGTATTCGAGCAAGGTATCTTTATTTTCGTCCTTCAATTTCCTCCACCTCTTGTCTACAAGGGAACGAGGCCTCTTCACCAACTGAACTAACTCTTTCTTCTTTGACCCTTTCTTCAGATCCCTTCTTCTATTTTAATAATTTCCAATACTTTTTATTTCCAGACGACGTAAAATTCTCAGAGCTGTCTAAAGACATCCAAATAACAGCCGGTGGAAGCGTTTTTCTCCATTGTGTCACTTCCTCGGCCGTGGAACAGTGCCGATGGTCCCTGACGCCGGTGAACTCGAACACAACGGTAGTGGTGAAGCAATTTCCGGCGGCCGGAAGCGAGGCCAGAGACTGTAGTGTCAGGCTGACGCACGCGCTCGCGGAACAGGAAGGACTGTGGACCTGTGGTGCCAGAATACGCGGCAGACAAAACTACACGGACGCACCTCCGGCCAAGCTGAGTCTCCTGGAACCAGGTATCATTGAATCTTGAGACGGATTCACGGCATTCCTTTCCTTTCACGGGTGAGGGTGTAGAGAAAGCAAATCGTTCATCGATTCCACGGATCTGTGGTCGACCTATTCGCTTCGCGATACTCGTAGTAATTTCGAGGCGTGGTCGTCGATCGGCCATAGATCCAAAACTGTGTATAGCATGAGCGTACATTATGTATACATATATTATAGCAAAACAACGATGAGTCGTTCGACTTGAACTGTAACTATAGTTCAGCGAGAAAAGATTCTAATTGTCGAGAAAGAAATATTTCGACACGATAAAAAAAATCTTAATTTGTTTCTTGAAACGACGAACGAGCGTCAAGGAATATTCTGTTGTTTTGGTGTAAAATGATGGCATTCTTTCTGATGAATCAACGATAATCGTCACTAAGATTTTTCTCTTACGAAACCATAATATTAATGATCGTTGTGACAGTATAGCGATGCGTATCTTTTAATATTGCTCATTTTGCTTCACTCAACTTCGTTAAAAAAAAAAAACAAAGAGAAATAAATAAATTTTAAAATTCCATTGTTCTTTTTTTTTTTTTTTTTGTTTTAAAAAAAAAAAAAAAAGAACAATGGAATTTTAAAATTTATTTATTTCTCTTTGTTTTTTTTTTTTTAAGAAGGTGGGGGAAAGAAAAAAAAAAAAAATAACATTGGATTTTTAATTTTTTTTTTTTTCCTTGTTTTTAAAAAAAAAAAACAAAAAGAAAAAAAAAAAATTTAAAAATCCCTTTTTTTTTTTTTTTTTGTTTTAAAAAAAAAAAAAAAAGAAAAAGAAATGAAGAAATTTTAAAATTCCATTGTTCTTTTTTTTTTTTTTTTTAAATACATAGATATATAGAAAAATTAATATAAATGACATTTTTCCGATATTCATATTTCACAAATATATCTGGATACTTAATAGTAATGTGACTCATCCTTTGCAATGTATACATGATGTATCGTATAACAAACATTAGTATTTGTGATCGATATCGTTCAAAAGAAACGTCACTGGGAAAATACATGGAGAAACAGTGGCTAACTTTCAAAACGATAAGCGAAATCGATCGCGCTGTCATATGTATCACAAAGTCTCTTAGAGTGTACAATTGAAGGCCGCACAGGCACAATTAAAGGAATTTGTAGCAAGAACGAAAATAATGATCCATCATCAATCTTAGTATAGATCGCATGTAAGTTCTTCGAAGACTGTTGTGGGTGAAGGCATCGCGGAGGTGATGGACTCTATATGACGATTTCAAGTTTCATAGTGATGTCTACCTCGTTCTATGGCTTATGAATTAATCATTTATATACATATATATTGTAAAAGAGGTAGACAGACGATAAAAAAAAGTCTGTTTTTTCTTTTTTTTTTTTTTTTACTTATCTGCAACTTCTGTTAAAACACGACTTTTTATATTCGCATTTTCTTTTCTTGTTTCTTGCGAGGAATCCATTGTTACGTTCGTGAACAAGAATAGCATTCCTTGCTTGTTACCTAGCATACTGTTACCGTACACAACGCATTTGCATCGATTAGCATTAGATTCTCCTAATTTATCGTTTTATCGCATCTGTTATTATTTTCCTCGTAATTTCTTGCTAAATCTTCGCAAAGATTTATTAGATCGTTATATTTCGGGACTAACCGAAGCCTGACAATTAATGAGCGATTAATAATGCTGTCCGTTTCTCTTGCAAAACACATGTTAAAATACGCATTAAAAGAAACGTGTTAAATAACACATCCGGCAATATTGTTCCATCAATAATAATTATTTCATCCACACGATTAAATCCTTTTTTTTTTTTTTATTCGTTAAAGTCTATATGAAATACGTTTTTTGTGCTCACTAAACTATATTTCGAACATTCAAGCGTAATGTTCTTTTATCCTCGTCGATATGGCACGCTTAAGAAGCACATCTCATTAAATAACATCTATCACTCAATGTCATTCACCCTTTCTTATTTATATGCTCAACGGCAAGTCTACGCTCAAATGATTTCGCATTTAGCATAGTTAGTAGCCGCGTTAATAGGTACGCGAAACCGTATTGTGTGTGTAAGCCTTTTCACGAGCACTCTGGCTACATTTATTGTCATTCTTTGTATTATTTATTGTCGAAAGTCACTATTGACAGGAAAAGTGCTCGAACTTTGAAAAAACGCTCGCCATCGAACTCCGTTAATTTACATTTCAGATTTCATTTCAAAATTTTTTTCTTTATCTCTTCTCTCTCCCTCTCTCTCTCTCTCTCTCTCTCTCTCTCTCTCTCTCTCTCTCTCTCTCTCTCTCTCTCTCTCTCTCTCTCTCGATGATCGATGGATTTGAAAGTTTTTTCAAAGTGATTCTGATTAATTCAACACAATTTGACGAACAGCAGAATAGATTGCCCTGCTGCAAGTAACCAGGGAAAGAGCGTTCGCGTTCTTCGTTCGTTTTAATACGTAACGTTGCATTCGAGACGCATTAGCTAGTAATTATTTAAAAAGACTACACATAAGAAGTTTAATGTTTAAGACTAAGAATATTTATTTGTTAAGCGAAATAAATCGTTTAAGAGACTCCAGTGTGCTAATAATGATTAGACTCGTTACGGAACCGTTAACGAATCAGTTGGCTGATCCCATAGCCAACGTGTTGCTAAATAAGAAGTCAACGTGCCGATGACAATACAAAAAAACTTCACGAAGAAACAGGTCCTTTTTTTTTATTAGAATACTACGATATCCACTTTACTGCTGATGCTCATTATATATAACAGCCACATGTTAAAATTAACGCTAAGACAATTCTTACTGTTAAGCGTCCCATTTGAAATATTTATCTTCGTTTCGGATAATATTGCGTTTTCATTGTTGTCACTCGATCACCTGCAAAATAATAATTAATAAGTAATAATTACTTTGAATCAGTTGTTTGAACCATTCTATAATTATTAAAAATACAAAAGTAATATCTAACGATATTAAAATTTGAAAAATTTCAACTCATAGGAAACTCGGTACAGATCGTGTGCAATGATCAAACGCTTTCGTTCGAAGCTAATTAATTACCTACCTTCGTGTGCCATTGAGTTACTGTTAAGTTTCCAACATGAACAATTCAAGAATCTGCACCGAGGTGTAATCGGTGGATCGTACGTGCGCGTTGAGTGTCTCTCCGGCATTGTAAACCATTTCTTTAAATAAATAATAATACGAAAACATCATTGCAACTTGTTTCTGATTCCCATCGTCTTTAATGCAAATACACGTACACCGAATACTCAAATTTCTATCATAAAAATAAATTTAAAATGTTTTATTTGATTAAATGATATTTTTAAAAACATTGTATAATAGAAATGTAATATTTTAATTAAGATAATAATTAAGATAATACACCTTATGCCATACAACATACATTACACATTGACACATTTTTCTCACTGTAATCTAACAAAAAATATATCACATGAAAATTGCTTGTGCACAATTAATGCACATGTATCAATATATGTTTATGGAAGAATTTCTCACTACCGAAGGAACATCATCATCGCTTTCGGTGATTGGGATAGGAAAGGGAATAAATCGATTAAACCAAATACTGAATAAAGAAAAGATTAATGATTTTTAGAACCAGTGACTGTGGTATTGTGGGCTGTGCCCCATCAAATGGTTACTCTTTCGTGCAAAGTAGAAACTATGTTATCAGAAGTACAGTGCCACTGGATTCATGCGCCAAAAATCCATATTTATCAGAATGGAACAAAAAGGTAACTTCTTTTTTGAATTTAAAATTAATAAAGTTAAAAGTTTATGTAATTAAATTCTTCTTCTTTTTTTTTTTTTTTTTTTTTATCATCCTCGCGCAATATCGAGCGTGTGATCTAGCAGCGCGTTCCATGTTCCAATGGTTAATACGCTAATTATGGAAATCGAGCGACTGTTGCGTCCCTATTAATCACGAGAGGCGAGAGGAAATATTAATTATTCCCGCTGAATGGTCGTTTAACGCGTCGAACGAACGAGGGGAATATGGGTTTTTAAACGCTTCGAATCGTTTAGATACGCGAATTATTATCTTTTTTATTTTTTTGGCTACTATATTCGGTATAATCGGTGGTGTATCGGATAACCTTCTGTTGGAAGGTGCGTTATATTTTTTTATTTGTTAATTATTCGAAAAAGGTAAATAGTTTTATATTGGATAAAAATAATAGGTAGGATTCTCTGTAAGAGAAAGATTTTCGTGTTATGAGAAGAAAGCAAGAACGCAAAGAGAGTTAGGATTGTAATAAATTTTTCTTTGGTTACAACAGAAGATATATAATATTTTATTTCATTTTTTATTTTAAAGCAACAAAAATTTTTTCCCTTAAAGATAGAATGATAGGTAAAATTATGATCTAATCACTGACTTGAGAATCGCTCTCAAAGTTCCACTTTGACATTGTTCTTTGAACGTTGTTGGTCCAGTTTTCTTCGGTCGGTCGAACTTTCTTCAACTTCAGAATTTTATCTGTTCTTTATTTAATGTCCCCTCCTCCTGGTGTTATTTCCTCGAGAAGAATTCTTTCTCACTTCTATACTCTTTCTCCAAATTTTTTTTCTTTATCACGTTATATGGATAAATTTTATTAATACAAGATGTTCCTATAATTAATATTAAAATATGCTTTACAATTTGTTACAATTCCATTCGATTCAAAAATATGATTCTATTAATCATTGAACATGAGTATTTCTCGTTATCGAAGCTTCTCGGATCCCATTCTTCAAACGGACACCGCGATTCCTGAGATTGGGTTACGTCCACGATTATATAGTTTTCGATAGCTCGACATAACTCGGCTACAATTACATCATCGATTTTCTGTCAAAATTCCTCCGGTCTGTTATATCTTCCATATCACGAGTCCACCGTAATAATAATTTTCCGTAGGAAACCGTAACGGAAATCTGCCTCTCCGTTATCCTCAACTATAAATCGTGCAATTTACGCCCACACGTGATAATTTTCACGCCGTACTTCGAAAACGATCAACGAAACACGGGCATCCAAAAATTTTGCCCGGAATCGTTTGTCATTCTATTTATCGCATCGTTCTTTCAGTTTCGAAAAAGCACAAACAAAGCGAGAAAAATAGAAAAAAAAAAAAAAAAAAATGAAAATAAAAAATATGCAATTCAACTTCGCGCGACAACGATAAAACTTTCAACCGGTAAATCCGAAAATACATTTCGGCAAAAATATCCTGTTACGACACATTTTTCTGGCCTAATAATTCCGGTAACGAACTATTCACTACTCACGATTTTGCCCCGCCCCTCCCCTCCTCCCTCCCCGGCAAAATTAGAATTACAGTTCGAAAACTTCTATCCAGAGATTACTACTATACAATTACGCGGATTCAGCGGATTTCGCGCGTACCGGAGGGAAAAGTATCGAATGCAAGGGAGCTCGACCTCGTTCGATGGCCCATCCGTTTTCTCAATTAGTTCGCTTAATT